TGTTACTAGTAGCGATGCACTTGTTCCTAGTAGCTTCTTGTTTCTACCAGCTTCTTGTTACTATTAGTAAGGCACTTGTTACTAGTAGCGATGCACTTGTTCCTAGTATATAGCTTCTTGTTTCTACCAGCTTCTTGTTACTATTAGTAAGGCACTTGTTACTAGTAGCGATGCACTTGTTCCTAGTATATAGCTTCTTGTTTCTACTGCTTCTTGTTACTATTAGTAAGGCACTTGTTACTAGTAGCGATGCACTTCTTCCTAGTAGCTTCTTGTTTCTACTAGCTTCTTGTTACTATCAGGTAAGGCACTTGTTACTAGTAGCGATGCACTTGTTCCTAGTAGCTTCTGGTTTCTACTAGCTTCTTGTTACTATTAGTAAGGCACTTGTTACTAGTAGCGATGCACTTGTTCCTAGTAGCTTCTTGTTTCTAGTAGCTTCTTGTTTCTACTAGCTTCTTCTTACTATTAGTAAGGCACTTGTTACTAGTAGCGATGCACTTGTTCCTAGTGGCTTCTTGTTTCTACTATGGAAGAGTCAGTTTGCTCAGATTTTTACTGTTTCTTCCCTTGGAGGAGTAGCCTTCTTTGCCTGAAAAGGCTCTGTTCTGTGAGGTGTTTTCTTTTTGGGATCCGTGGAGTGTTTGACCAGCAGAGAAGACTGTGGATGCTCGTAGACTCCAAAGTGCGATACTGTTCAGTTTCAAGTTTCTTTTGCACATGTTTGTCTATTCAGAAGAACCTCTTGGACTCTAAGCACCTCATGGCATACAGTATAAGCATGCAGGTTTTCACACTGTCCCCCCCTCCATTTGGTCTTCGGACCTCCTCTCGACACCAGGCATGGCTGGCGCATGCGAAGGCACGGACAGGGATGGGGAAATGTGAACCTTTCAGTTGGTTGATCTCTCCGAGATGAGAAGTTCATGCTTTCTACTGAGTCTACTGATGTTGAATCGTTTTTCTCATCAGCTTGTCATGTTTTTCCTTTGAATTACGGTGGCAACACGTGGCATCGATACTAGATCGATCCCCCGAGGGATAATGATGCGCGCGCGGAACTGCTTCTGAAGGGGCTGGAGGAACTGCTCACTCCACTGATAAACAGGGGTAAACTTGGTATACCTTTGTTGAATTTTGTTGATCATCCCATGAACAACGCCATATTCTAAAAGGATCTTAAAGGGGAGCTTACAGATTCTAAAATGAGTTCTGTGTGGGGGGGAACCCAGAATAACCATAATGTAATATATAATTCTCATGTTTGGATGAAAAAAATAGATCTCCGCAATGCAGGAGTTCCCAACTATGGTGATTGGCAGGTTCTCATTTCTTTCCTTCCACTCACCTTCTTGTTTTTCCGAAGCACTTCAACTTGGAACTTCTGGGTGAGACCTTAGTGACTTAGTGAGAAGTGGAACGGAACCTGGAGAAATTCATGAGACTATGCTTAAAAAAGGCGATTCGTTGGCAGGTCCTTTTCCAATTATTCTTGTACGCCGAACCGCGGAAC